CTTGGTGGAGGAGATGATGGGGGGACATGGGGATATTCGGGGGTGGGGTGGGGAGTTGGACAAACGGCCTTAGCATGAGGTGCTGCATCCCCAGCCCGCGGTGCCCTGCTCGCTGCAGGGGGTTTTGCCCCCAGGAGTGGGGCTGGGGCTGCCAGCCCGCTGCAAGCATCGGGGCAGGGACCGGGCAAGGAGAGCATCGCCCTGGGGTGGGATGCAATGGGACAGAGACGGTGCCGCAGCGCGGGGGCTGCCCAAAGGGCTCCTGTGAGATTTTTCCCCCGCCCCAGCCCTTCTCCCGCCCGTACCTTTGCTCTGCCCTGGAAGCTGAAGGTGAGCACGTACTCGCCGCGGCGCGTCTCGCTCTGCCGCACCAGGAAGACGCCATGGCCCTCCAGCCCCCGCAGCTGCACCAGCTGAGCCGCCTTCACGCGGGAGATGGGCCCGTGGAACCAGGGGCAGGAGGAGAGGAACTGCTCCGGCTTCGGCCCCGCCGCCTCCCCCGGGCCCTCTGGCGTCGCCCCTGCCAGGGCACCCATCGCTGTCCCCAGGCTCAGGGACACCCGCCGGGCGCTTACCCCCTGCGCGCACACTCCCGGATCTCAGCCGTCCAGGAGCTGAGCTGCTGCTCGTCCCCTGCCTCGAACAGGACGTCAGTGGCATTGGTGACCTGGGGGACAGCAGAGAGGGACAAGGGGGCTTCAGAGAGAGAGATTTGCATCCCCTTCCCACCCACCCACACTCGGGGACCAACCCTGACACCAGCTGGGGCAGAGCATCCCCCTGCCCCCCGCCAAATGCCGCATTCCCCCCCCATGCAACCCTTCCCTGGCTGGGAAGAGGAACTGAAATTTGGCACGGGAGCTTTCGGCAGCCACGTGCACCCCGGAGGGTGGGAAAGGCCTCAGGGCCGGCTGTGGAACCCCCTTGGCTGGACCTTACCTTGAGGACGAAGGTGTGGAGGTTATCGGGCATCTCGAGGCGTGTGCACCTCCGCACCTCCTGGACGGCGGAGCAGGCGGCGTGCAGCTTCGGCTTGGAGCCCTGCAGGGGGGGAGGAGAGCGGCTGAGCTGAGCCCTAGCACCCCCACACCCCAAAACGCTGCCCCACAGCCCGCTGCTCCACTAGGATGGGGGTGGGGGGGTTGAGCCTGCTGGGAGCCACCCGAAACACAGCAGCCAGCAAGGAAATACCCCGCTCTGCAGGGAAATACTCCACCGGCAGGGAAATACCCCCCCGTGGCAAGGAAATACC